CAGAAATCATTCTAATATGCTGATTTGCTGCTCAAGAAACATTTCTGATTATTATCAATGTTGAAAACAGCTGAGTAGAATTTTTTCAGGATTCACAGATGAATAGAAAGTTTCATCAGAACAGCATTTATCTGAAATCTTTTGTAACATTATATATGTGTTCATAATTGTTTTACGAAATTATATTTGATTTTTACGAGTTAATTTAGACAATGCACGTTTTTTTATAGACATTTATTTCCTTGCGTTGACAAATTTAAATGCGCTGCATTATTTTGCTCATTGTGCCCTCCTGTGGCCTCGGTAGACAAGACAAAATTTCCCTTAAAACCTATTTAATCTGCATATAAAACATTAATTTTTATTTGTTGCTTGTCTCAATAAATTGGGTTAATTTAAAAACAGTGGTGAAATGTAAAAAAAATGTTTCTATTGCTCTTTGTTTTAAAAAAGGTTATAAAAATGTCAATAATTATCTATACCGAACGATATGAAACATTGTATCGTTGATAAATATTTTAGCTATATATTGCCCAGCCCTAGACAAAGTCTTTTTATTTCAGATAATCTTTGGATCTTTCTATTCATCAAAGAATACTGAAAAAATTTACTCAACTGTTTTAAATATAGATAATAATAATAATCAGAAATGTTTCTTGAGCAGCAAATCAGCATATTACATGATTTCTGAAGATCATGTGACACTGAAGACTGGAGTAATGATGCTGAAAATACAGCTGCGCATCACAGAAATACATTACAGTTTAACAGATATTCACATAGAAAACAGCTGTTTTAAATAGTAAAAATATTTCACAATATTACTGTTTTTGCTGTATTTTGGATCAAATAAATGCAGGCTTGGTGAGCAGAAGAGACTTCTTTAAAAAACATTAAAAATCTTTTGACTGGTAGTGTACATGAGCTGCTGTTTAATAAGGGAACGTGTCTCAGTGTTTGTGCTCGCTCGTACCTTCCTCTTCGGCGCGTCTCCGGTCTCTCGCGGGGACGACAGCGATGGGAACTTGTCTCTGGGCAGCAGCTTCATTCCCAGCTGAGCTCGAATCTTACTGCACAAACATGAGCGTGAGTTCAGTTCAGAGCCACAGATCAAACAGCAGACACTAAGCCAGATCTTACTTGGTTTCCTCCATGCTGTAGTTCAGAGGATCCGCCTCCGAGTCGGCTTCTGTGAGGCCATTGGTTGAGCTGGTGGGGGCGGGCCCTGGAGGGGAAACAAGCTCCTCCCCTTCTTTCAATGCTTGTGTGAGCTCCTCCTCTGTAACCACTGACAGAACACACTCATGAATATTCATATCTTTTAAGCTACTCATAAGGTATTGCATGACAGCATATTAAAGGTTTAAAATATAGAAGTTGAATGCTGATAAACTGACACCTGTGGTGTCACCTGATAGGTGTTTGCAGGAATTATTCCAATTAAATATATATATATATATACACACACAAACACATATACATGCGTGTAACCTTTATCATTTTACAAACAGTTACAGATTAATGAACTATAAGTCTTTGCAAAAAAAAATTTAATTATGAATTAGTACATACATATTTTTCCATTAACTAATTTTTTTTCTATTTGATTTTGTTACCTGAAACGAAATAAACGTTAACTGAAAATAAAATGAGTTTGTTTTTTATATTTTATTTCAGCTAGTTGCCAAGGCAACATTTCTCATTTTTAATTTAAGTACTAAAATACTAAAACGAAAAAAATACCTAAACTAAAAAGTGAATAGAAACTATATGGACATAAAATAAAAAACTACTAAAAATGCCAAAAAAAAAAAAAAATTACTAAAACCTGAAAATTAAAGTGAAAACAAACAATAAAAATAAAATTTTATTCAAAATATTAAAAAAATTAGAATATTGATTATATATTATAAAATTATATTTTATAAAATTATATGTGACCATGGAGCACAGTCATAAGGGTAAATTTTTTGAAATTGAGATTTATGCATCATCTGAAATATTCTAAATATTGAGAAAATCATCTTTAAAGTTGTCCAAATGAAGTTCTTAGCAATGCATATTACTAATCAAA